TTGAATTTGACTTAGTGAAAATAAGCGTTAAGATTAATAGAAAAAAATTACGAATTTGAGGATAGCTAAGTAAAGTGTTAATTTTTCGTAGTAGCTGCTCTAAAAACAGTGTAAGATGTTTAAGATAATACATAATGGCTGCATTTCTTTATTCATTCTGCACGTTTGGAATAAACTTTTTTGTGTATTTATTCTTTAGAACGTTCCTGATGATATGTTGACGTATATTTCAAACGCATTCTGTTTATTCCGGCTGTGAAATGGGATTATCCGGAATGTATAAAGAAATGCAGCCAGTATGACTTTTTTTAATTCTTCCTTTTGACAACTTTTCTTTAGAATTGTTTATTATTCAAAATGCCTACAAGTAAATATATTAGCACGGTAAAGGAAAAAGAAAAAAAAGCTAAAAATGCATCTGATCAAAAGATGATTGTACCTAAAATCTAGTGGCTGTACCTAATGTACCTTTAAGTCATCAAACGTCGGAAAAAGGTACAATTGTACCTACTTTTTCATCCCTGGTACATATATTTGTAAACGTACCGTTATGTCGTCAACTCCGACAGCTAATGTTTGCGCTCTTTAAGCACTTGCTAACTCCCTCCTACTCAGGCTTGTCTATGAGAGACGCAAACATTTCCTGTCTCTCTCGCGCATGGCGTCCCATGGCGTAGAAATAAACGCAGTCTCTTCTCCAAGGAACCGTTATGTCGCCGCTTAGGCCACCTGCCTACTCTCTGCTTCGAAGCTTCTCCCGCGCCTACAAGTAAATATATTAGCACGGTAAAGGAAAAAGAAAAAAAAATCTAAAAATGCATCTGATCAAAAGATGATTGTACTTAAAATCTAGTGGCTGCACCTAATGTACCTTTAAGTCATCAATCGTCGGAAAAAGGTACAATTGTACCTACTTTTTCATCCCTGGTTTGAGATTAGAAATGAGTATGTGTGTGTGAGTTTGTGAGTAAATTTCAAAATTAAAATGCTTGGAAACGTCAAAAATGCTAAAAGCATGCTGCGCTTTTTACTTTTACATTTGATAGAGAGAAAGAGAGAGAGAAGCAACGCCAACGTTACCGCCATGCGGTGGTGAGTTTTCGTTAACACGGGAATCCCACAAGGTAGATCGTGTCTGCGTCAACCTACGTCTACGCTACGTCGTTGACTGTTTGCGCTTTAAAAGTGTCTCTCAGCTGTTCTACCTTCCTATATTTTTATCACGCTTTTAACTAAAAGTTGGCTGTATAACCGCCTCATGTAGACAGCCCGTACCCATGATAAAAACATTACAAGGTAAAATCATTGAGAGGCAGTCTGACGTTTGCCAGCAATATAATTTTAAAATTCGAACTCAAGCTCACATACACATTCTCATTTTTAATCTCAAACAACAACAATTGTGAACAACTTAATTTTTTTATTTTCGATTTTATATGATTTTAAAATGTTTGCAAACGTCAGAAAAAAATCATGGCCGACAAATTGAGAGAATGGTTTTACCTTCTAATGTTTTTATCATGCTCTGACCGACATCGAAAACATGTTTTCGTTGCTAAAACTTGTTTTCGACGTAAAAGTTGTGTTTTCGTCCATGTAAAATCTGTCAAACGAAAACCACTTGAAAACTCACGTTTCACTCATTCCAATCGGTGTCTTCACTAGTTTGTTTTGATTATCTATCGAAATCGAAGTCATATTTTATCATCTTTAACACTCCATTTCGGATTTATTGTTAAATGGTTGGCCTAAGTAAAATAAGAATGAAAGTAAGAGGTTGTAAATGAAAAGAAAATGAAGGAAAAGTATTTTGGTTTTGTTTTTGTGTAGCAAAACTGTAAGAAATGTTAACGAAAATACTAACATCCGGTGTGAACAGCCTTCACTTCACAATCCAAAAACTCGTTTTCACAGTGTTTGCGTTGTCGGTCAGAACATGGTATAAGGGCCGGTTGTTCAATAGCTCCCCACTCTAAAATCCTGTAAATGAGAGCGATTTTTGGAAAGTTGTGTAGAGAATGAAGTTGCAAGATATTACCCAAACTTTTTCTTCTGGTAAAATCATGAAAAGTGTTAAGCGATCACTGGTTGACGTTTTTACAGGAAAAATGCTTTTTTTGGTTCCCGTACTATTTGTTGTTACACACCTTTTACTCTCACTTCAGAGAGTAATTTCGCTATTTGACAGTTTTACAGGATTTTACACGAAAACTATTGGATCAGAGTTAATGTCTGGTCAGGGTGTCCAGATTGTTTAAAAAAACGCAATTCCTGAAAAAAATATCGACAATTTTTTTAAATAAAATTCATGAAATCGATTTAACAAATATTTCATTTTAAAAACGAGATCTTGTTAATCAAGAACGTAAATTTATAAGAAGAGACAACACGTTATAATTGTAGCGAGTGTGAACATCAGGAGCGTGCCTTCTGTTTTGCTCAAATACGTTTCTAGACTGGTTGAAAAGAGAAGGCACGCTCCTGATGTTCACACTCGCTACAATAATAACGTGTTGTTTCTTTTTATAGATTTACGTTATTTGTTATAGTATAGCTTTTAAAATCAAAAACGAATACAATACCTTCAGAGGGTAATAATAAATAACACGAATCACTTATATAATAGTGATGTACAAACAATTTTCTTTAAAAATACGCATACCTTTTAAAAATATTTGTTTCCACACATTTTGCAATAGGTCTGCGAAATTATTAAATTTATTATAACTCATATTAATTGATTAATCGCACAATTCGCTTTTATGAGCTCGGCGCTAAAAATTAAATAAAAACCCATAATAAGGCGAGATCAGCTATTTCCACAATTTCCTCAAAATCACCTGTAATGACTGAATGATTTACATTTATATTGTCATATATCGAGCTATTCAACAGTGATAGATCTGCCACGTTTGTGAGCATCTACCACACAAGGCCTGAAATCTACCACATATTCGCGTTTTTGAGTACCTAGTCTTATTTTTGTTCGACAAAATTTTCTTAATTTTAAGTGCAAAAATTGTGCAACACTTAACACTATATGGTAACAAGAATGTTATAATACAAGATTCCGCATAGGAATGTTCGATATCGTATCAATTATTCTGAATATCGATATTTCATGGCACGATAATCGATTCTTTGAATCGATATTCTAAGGTCGATATATCGAAGACATCGATACTTTACCCGCAATATCGATATTTAAGTTGAAATTAATTTTTGATCTACAAAAAAGTGTATGGAAAATACTAAAGTAGGTTTAATCAGCAGCTTGTGTGATTTATTTAGCTCTTAAGTTTGACAAACCGCTTGAGTCGACCGGCATGCCGTGTTAATCCTCAGAAAATATGCAAGATGGAAATAACACAATTAGGTGAGTTGATAAGCAGGTCCAATATTCTATTCAATTGGGTGTACGATCTTCAATATCGATTTTTCCGATATCGATATTGTTCAGCCGGATATATCGCCATATCGATTTTACATGCAATGAATTAAATCGATTCACGATTTCGATACTTTCTTAAATATCGAACTTTCCTAATTCTGCATTCCCGGCGGCGATGAAATTTCTCAAGTAAAAGTAAACAAAGCCAAATGGGAGGATAAAATAAACTGTAAAATAGTAAATTTTCTCTATAATAAATTTTCGACAGGTAACGTGGTTTCGTTACGTTAAATTTTAAAATATATGATTTATAAAAAAAATTAATAGCGAAAGTAACAAAAAAAATTACGAAAGTGTCTGAGGCGTTGTTTACATTTACTTGAGAGTTGTCAAAATCGGCAAATCACCAGTAGCGGCTTCTGTAACGCGCCGCATTTGTTCGCTAGATCGTGATGTGAAAGAACTAAACGCTGGCAGCACTCCGCAAGGTTCCAAAACAATTTATGTTCGAAAAATATTTTGAAATGGAAGAAACCGCTTTACACTGTCAAGGAAAAAATTGCCAAAAGTCAATGCACTTTTTAGCAATTTCAATCTAGCACTTTGTAATAATAAAATTAATTTTTTTAGAGTCTAATTAAAAAGTTTGCAATTTAGGTGAAACCTTACAGAGTATTTTTAATTTTTGTACAAAGTTTGATTCAAAACCTGAGATCTACCACATTTTTTTGAAATCTACAACATTTTTTTCCAGATTCTACACACAGAATTTTTAAGTCCGATCACTGCTATTCAACCTTGATAACATACATATAAAGTTCTGAACACATTGAAAACTACGAGCTACGGGCCACAGTTTCAAATTTGTTATCTTCATTATCTAAACGCTTTCTCGATAACGACATGGTTTTTTTGAACGCGGCAGCGACATCATCAATTTGTATGAGGTTGACATAAAAGAAGAGGAAGAACCTTATCTGTCGCTGGAAAAATAGAAATAGATCTAATCTGGCCACAACCACGGTCGTCGCGTAGCCCGGTCGTCGCCAAAATAATTATCTACATAAGAGTACGTGTTAAAATAATTTGACAGCTGTAGTCCGTAGCTCGTCGTTTTCATTGTGAAAAACCGCCGCTGCCACTGCGCTATTGTATTTTGGTCTTAACACTTTATTCGAACTATTGAATTAAGGATTTCCAACCTGATCGCATTTTAGTTTTTGTTGAATTCATTACGGAAAAAACGTGCTAAACAAAGCATGTGAGTGCGGTAGGGATAATAATATGAATTTATTTATATTTCCAAACATTTTATTGCCTGTTGCGGTTTTCACTCCGTAAGCAACTATTCAAAATTCTTCCGAGTCCGATGGGATGGTTCTGAGAAAAGTTATTCCATGGGAAAGTTAAAAGATTTAAATATTCCGTTTACGCTGCTTTTCTTTCCTTCAAAGTCAAATAGTGAATTGGCAGGTCCGTGAAACTCGCCCTCTTGTGATTCATACACTTTTCTGGTGGCAAAATCAAAGTTTTTTTAAAGTATTTAATTGACTAGGTAATCGTTTCAAAATTTCTTCGATTAGGGTGATTAAACATTTTTGACAGTCTTTTAATATGCTTCTTAAGTCAAGTTTATCACGCAGCTCATTAGCCTCATTATCGTGGAAAACTAAGTTTTGTATATTTTTATAATTGAAAAAAATTTATTTGAAGGGAAAAAATCGCCAATGGCGATTTCCTAAATTTTTCCTCCGATTTGTGCTAATCAGATATTGAACAACCTGGCCCTAAGTTTCATATCGTCGATGCTTTTGCAAAACCGCCCATCGACCAGTTGCAAAACCCATGATGCAATAATACAAGGTATTATCGGCTGGCAGCTTCTCGCTCAAATTCCGCCATATTGACTGCCTTAGGTGAAGCATGCCTTTTATGGGCTGTTTTTGCTTACGCGTAAAAGCACATTTAGCGCATTTAGCTCTAAATGCTACTCTAAATGTACATTTATCCATACAAAATTCGTCACCTAAATGCAACTAAATGCAACTCCATTTTTGCATTAAGAATCTAAATGCCAAAGCAACCCTGTGATCTTCCAAAATTTCCACGATTCGAACATGGTTTAAAGAGAAAAAGTGATAACATTGCTTTTTCGATTATACAGTTGCTAGCTGCGTTTCAGTGATCGCCGATTGAGATTTCTTTTATTTTACATTACATATTTGGATAAAGAAAAGTTAAGCAAGCAAATTCAACATCGAAGTGATGCTGATAGAAATCTGGATCAATTTGTGATCAACTCTGTTTGGTTTGTTTCCTAATTAGGTGAGGAAATTTTAATTGACAGCACCGACAAATGAATATATACACAAACAAATGGTTTGTTATGGTTAAAATCATTCAAGTTTTTGTATTGAATTTTTGGTTTAAAATTTATTTTTTCCTTTTCAGTATGGTTTTTCACATTTTCTTCAGCGTGAGAATTGATCGTAATATATACGGATCTAAATAAGAGACTGGAACACGGCTGTTTAACAAAAGCATACGATTTCGAACTCGCGTAAATGTACATTTGCTAAATGCTATAGCATGAACGCTCTTCGAAAACATATGTTCGAAAGTGCTAAATGTTGCATTTTAAATGCAGCAAAAACGCTGCATTAGGTGAAGCAGTGTTACTTCTTTAACAATTCTTTGCATAATAATACAGTTGAATGGTTTTTATTTTTTCTCAGTACATATACACATTTTGTTTTCTCAAAAGAGTATTTTATCTTATTTTATTTCATTCAATTAGGAATATACAATAAAAAAGCAAACGTCCTTCTTATTCTATTGACCTAAGGCAGTATCAAATCGAGCTGTCACAACTGATACCACCTGGTATTATCGCATCATGTGCGAAACCGCCTAAATCGCCATTGTGACAAAAATTTGCTAACCCTGAACTCCAGGCATCAAGATTTATACATAAGAATCGTAAAATCGTTATAAAAACAACAGCTTTGTAAAATCATAGCTAGAGAAAATACCGTCTATCAAGGCAATGCCTTCAAAGAAAAACTGTTTTTTCGCTCTCCTGTAAAATTTGAGTGCCGTAAGATAGGCGGTTTTGCAATTGGTCTATGACCGCATGAATAATCATTTTTATTATACAAATTCTTCTATAAATCATGTCGTTGTGTTAAATTATTCTTTACCTTATGTGTACACACGTTGTCACAAGTGAAAATGAAGAAAATTCCAGTAAAATGCCACCACCAAATTGTAAGCAACGAACAAATGTAAACAAACAGCTAATGTCGAAATCGCCCAACTTTATTCCTAAATGCGATTATAACAGGCTAATGCAGCGTTTTTGCTGCATTTAAAATGCAACATTTAGCACTTTCGAACATATGTTTTCGAAGAGCGTTCATGCTACCGCATTTAGCAAATGTACATTTACGCGAGTTCGAAGTCGTATGCTTTTGACAAACAGCCGTGTTCCAGTCGCTTATTCAGATCCGTATCTATTACGATAAATTCTCACGGAAAAGATAATGTCCAAAAATCACTACTGAAAAGGAAAAAATAAATTCTAAACCGAAAATTCAATACAAAAACTTGAATTGTTTTAACCATAACCAAACATTTGTTTGTGTATATTCATTTGTCGGTGCTGTCAATTATAATTTCCACACTTAATTAGGAAACAAAACAAACAGAGTTGATCACAAATTAATCCAGATTTCTATCAGCATCATATCGATGTTTAATTTGCGTAACTTTTCTTTATTCAAGTAATGTAAAATAATAAATGAAATCTCGATCGGCGATCACTGAAACGCAGCTAGCGGCTGTATACTCGAAAAAGCAATGTTGCCACTTCTTCTCATTAAACCATGTTCGAATCGTGGAAATTTTGGAAGATCACAGGGTTGCTTTTAGCATTTAGATTCTAAATGCAAAAATGGAGTTGCATTTAGTTGCATTTAGGTGACGAATTTTGTATGGATAAATGTACATTTAGAGTAGCATTTAGAGCTAAATGCGCTAAATGTGCTTTTACGCGTAAGCAAAAACAGCCCATAACCTAATATTCGCGGCTTGCGTTTTGGTACGCATGCCGTCGAATTTGTTTTTTTGCGTCACCCGAAATTGACTTGCGCTTGCATGTGATTTCATTGAGCGAAACGTTAAATCAAAATGTCACGCAGAACAAAAACTGGAAATTGAGTTAGCTTCATACGCACGCCGTTCAATTCCGGTTGATCTCATACAAGTTGCATGTGCATGAGAAATTTATGACAATAAATTGGAGACGTGCGTGAATATTAGGTTATGCAGCGTTTTTGCTGCATTTAAAATGCAACATTTAGCACTTTCGAACATATGTTTTCGAAGAGCGTTCGTGCTATCGCATTTAGCAAATGTACATTTACGCGAGTTCGAAATCGTATGCTTTTGACAAACAGTCGTGTTCCAGTCGCTTATTCAGATCCGTATCTATTACGATCAATTCTCGCGCAGAAGATAATGTGCAAAAACCTTACTGAAAAGGAAAAAATAAATTTTAAACCAAAACTTCAATACAAAAATTTTAATCGTTTTAACCATGACCGACCAGTTGTTTATGTTTATATTCATTTGTCGGTGCTGTCAATTAAAATTTCCTCACTTAATTAGGAA